GCCTGAAGAGAGTTGACCTGCCCAATGTTTTTAATAACATTTGAGTTTTGTCCAATATTTAAATCTCAGATTTCACATTCAGACCCATATTTCCTTCTTTTGTGCAACAATAGCGGATGAAACATGGTCCCACACTGCAACACCTTTAGATGGCCGTGACTGTGATCTGCCACGACTCCCTCCCTTCTGGTCACCAAATCAAGACTGGGCGCTACTTGACATGTGCCGTCATACTTACATTTGTGGTTTCCTTAATGGCAAAGAAAATGAAATACTGATTTGGAAAGTAAAATCAGAACAAGAGGGTCTAATGTTTCAATTTTTATTTCTTTCCTTTCTTATGTTAGACCCTTTATGTCTGTTCTTGGCGTTAGCGCCTGGGCTTCTCTGGTTTACTGTTTCTGACCTCGTGCTTAATCCAGAGCGAGGAAGGTTGTCTCCCAGAGACAAATAATGTGGGCTAGAAGATGCAGATCCAGTGAGACAACTGTGTTGGTAAAGGAGATGTGGAGGAAACTTGGGAATGGGCTTAACCAGCTGGAAGAGCTGCCCCTGTGGAGAGAGCAGTCTGCCTCCCTGAGAGGAGGTCTCAGAAGCTTGATGAACCACCAGCATCTAGACAGGGCTTAGCTTTCTCTCTCTCTCTCTCTCTCTCTCTCTCTCTCTCTCTCTCTCTCTTCCTTTCTCTCTCTCTCTTCCCTTTCTTTCTTTCTCATATCCTCCTTCCACTTCCGTTCTTTCTCCTGTTCCCGAATGCTCACACAAAAACCTCAATGGGCAACAGCTTTTGCATTCCTGGTAGGCACCATTCCTTGAGCAGGGCGTGGAATCTGCCACTGGACCCTGGGCATTCTCTTGCAGAGCCCAGACATGTGCTGCGATAGACACTTGGTGGTATTTGGCATGGGTAGCCAGACTCCTCTCCCTGCACCCCTCATCCCTGTGCGGGCCCCCTCCCCTCTTTTTTTTTTTTTTTTTTTTCCATTTCTTACTCGAGATTAAGGGAAAGCAGGTTGGAAATGCAAAACAATGACATTCACTGTTAGACCTGCCTATTTATGAGAAGCTAGCAGGATGTTTAGTGAATTCAAAACTGAAACAGTTGCATGGGAAGAGGAACAGGTGGCGTGCCCTAACCCCCGCCACTTCCACATTAGCCTAGGCTCACCTGCAGACCCGCATTTCTCTGCTGAAGGCCTCTCCAAAGTGGCTCCATCTTTGTGACTCCCTTCCAGCAGTGTCTGAAAGTTCTGATTGCCACTTGTCTTTCACAGCCCTGGATGTCACAAGTTCTTTGTTATGATCTAAGTTGTAATTTAAGCTTCCCTGACCAATAAGGACCTCAGACACCTTTCATGTGTTTATGGGCTATCTGTGTATCTCCTTGTTCATTTTAAAAAATTAGATCATCCAAAACAGACAAAAATAAATAAATTAGGATGGTAATTTTGTGACTAGGTTGTGATAGTTGTTCATCTATCTGGTTGCAAGTTCAATAATTTACAAATGCATTATCCCAGTTCATAGCTTCACTTTTCATGCTTGTAGTAGTGTATTTCAGAGGGAATGTTCTTTATTTTGATGCCAACATATCAAATTTTTTTTTTATCTTTAAGTGACTTCTGTTGTTTGGTATCTCAGAACTATTTGCGTAATTTGTGACCAACCACAAGCTAGAGTCAACACTTTCATGGTTATTTACAATTCATTTGGGTTGATTTTTGCATATGGTGTGATAACCGAGTCGAAACTGACTTGTTTATAATAGGGTATTTCTTCTGGTTAGTCCTTTGTGGTTTTTGTTTGTTTGCGGTGAAGGTCTCATTGTGTAGCCCAGACTGGCCTGGCATCTGCTGTTTGGAGGCTGGTCTTGAACTTGTGAGAAGGATTCACTGCCTTTGCTTCCTGGCTGTAGGAATGTGCCACCACCCCTGGCCTCTGTTTAGAGTTTGATACATTGTTAGTTTTTTCATTCTTTGCTTCCCAGATCTAGCCAATAACAAGATTTTTTTATGCATATTCTTGTGATCTAAGTTTCCATGTATTTGAAAACAAATGTGTGCATAAACACACACACACACACACACACACACACACACACACACACAGAGTTTATTTTCACATGTTCTGAGTTCTGATATGTAGATCCTGTTTTCGTCTTTTAAAAGCCACACTCTTTTTATATTACATGAATTCACTACCTTTATTCATCCATCCCTTTATTAATGGACATGACGGTAGAATCCATATTTATGAGTACAAATATTATCACAATAACTGCCATTGTCCATGGTCCTTGTGCCATATAAGATGTGTCTAGGATATATAACAGTCATTCAGTTCCTAGGCCACTCACTAAAATTACAGAATCAATTGAGAGTTCACTAGTACAGAGTGATTTATGCTTTACATCTTCACTCTGAGATTACTGTCAATATAATAGGAACAAAGTAATTGTATTTCTTCAAAAACTTGCACCACTTGATTACTTGTGAGGGTAAACACTGGTGGCTTCTGAATTGGCTGGTTCTGTAAGCCTCCTCTCCACTCAGCTGGTGATTTTGATGAAGAAATTTGTCAATATTTTCTGTCTAGAACTGTCCGTCCTTCACCTTCCTTACGATGAGCTCTTAAAGACATTTCCCTACATTTTCTTATATGCTTTCCTACGCATAATTTTTCAGCTGAGTATTTTCTCCAAAGTAAGCCTGTGGCACATCTTTCTTACACTGAAATCCATAAATCTTAAGTATACAATTTCCTCAGTGCTGGTAAATGTGCTCACACAGTCACTGCCTCCATCAAAATCCGTAACATTTTATCATCCTCTCCCCTTCGTAGACCGCTTCTTGTACTCCCTGGCAGCCAGCCTGGTTCCCAAAAGCCACCACTGCTCTGATTTGCTTTTTTTTTTCTGTTGTGGTTTATTTAGATTTGCCCTTTCTAGATTTCACATGAACAGAACCATACAATATGTGCGCTTTTGTGTCCAGTTTGGCTTGTTTCATTTGACCGGATAGTTTTGAGATTGATTTCATTCTTGTGTGGATGGCTCATTGCGTCCCTTTGTTGTCATAGTTCCAGTGGGTTCCTAGTGGACATGTTTCCGGTTTGGGGCTAGTATGAATTAATTTACTAAGGATGTTCTTGTTTTGTTTTGTTTTAAATTTTTATGCACATGAGTGTTTTTGCTGTATGTAGATCTGTGTACCACATGCATTCCTGGAACCCTCAAAGGCCAGAATATGTCAGATCCCCTGAGACTGGAGTTATAGATGGTTGTGAGCCACCATGTGGGTGCTGGGAATTGAATTCAGGTCCTCTGGAAGAGCAGCCAGTGCTCTTAACTAAAGTGGCAATTTACAAGGCAATTCCATATGGTTTATCTGGTAATTAAAAGAGGTTTATTTTGGGGCAACTTACAACCATTAATGGAGCTGGTTACAGGATCTGGGAGAGGTGAGATGCAGTCCAACATGGTTCTCTGGAGAACTCTGACTTGGTCTGTAATCCAGTATCCAGGATCACGAGGAGCCAAGAGAAACCAGCACATACACATCCCAGGTCTTAGAGGCCCAAAAAGGCCACGCTCCAGGGGCAGGTCATAGGCAGGTGTAGCAGTTACCTGCTGGCTCACTAGGGGCAGTGCTTCAAGGTCAAAGCTGGAACAGCTCCCCACTGCACTTAACCACTGAGCCATCTCCCCAGCCTGTTTTGCTTTTTTTTTTTTTTTTTTTTTT